CTACCCTCTTGGAAAAGTAAAAGAAAAATTCTTTCATTGTTTTACAAATCCTCCCCCAGGTCCACTCCACCATGTAGACTCCGCTCTAGACTCCTGTCATGACAAAAAATACCTAATCACATATCCCTTTTAAACAGTTTTCTCCCTCATCTGTTTCAATGCAGCATACATTATTGAACCCATATTTCTCAGTCTCCCCCCAACCCCAAGGTCAGTCCTGTTTTACAACAGTGGCATCATGCAGTATTTGTCCTTTTGTGACTGAGATACTTCACTCAGTAGAATGGTAGCGTGCCTGCACGCGCCACAGCGGGGAAAGCGCCTTCGCCTTCACTAGAGCGGAGACCCAGCTCAGAGCGCCCCTGGGCCGCGCCCGCCGCCAGCCCCACCCATCCGGGTCAACAACTTCTTTGCCAAGGGAGACAAGAAGAAGAAGGAGTGGAGCAGCGGAGCAGTGGGGCAGCGAGCTGCGGGCCGGGAGACAGAGGGGCCCAGGGACCCCGGAGCCCCTACCAGGGCCGCAACCAAGGATGAAGATGAGTGGAAAGAGTTTGAGCAGAAAGAGGTTGATTACAGGGGCCTGAGTTCAGGCAATGCAGATAAGTGAAAAGGAAGAAGATACTGAAAAAAAAAGGAAGATTCAGGTGATAATTGGGAAGGTGGAGGAGGCGGCGGAGGCGTAGAAAAGTCTTCGAGTCCCTGGAACAACCCTGCTCCAGTGCAAACAGCGCCAGCCCTGCCCCATTGTTCAAGAAACTCCAGAACCTTCTATGACTAGCTGCGCGTACAGACCTCCCGGAGCCAGGTTAACCACCTCGAGGAAGAAGAAGACAACACAAGGGCCACCAGAGATCTACAGCGACACACCCTTCCCTGCAATCCACTGCCAAGCACGTAGAAAGATGGAAGGATAAAGAAATGGAGAAGAGCTTTGAAGTAGCAAGACACAAAAATAGAGGTAGGGATGACGTTTCAAAAAACCAGGCCCTTAAACTTCAGCTAGACAACCAGTATGCGGTGCTTGAAAATCAGAAAAGCAACCCCACACAGTGCAATTAAGGAATTGTCTTTGCTAACAACCCTCCTAAGGTAACCAGACTCCAGCGAACCACCATGAGCATTCAGCGTCTCATCTCAGCTAGATCCACAGCAACGATGCAGACCACTCTAAGTAATCAGCCCTATTGCATTTTGGAAGTTTCCAGTGTCACTACTGCTCTCTATGTATAACGGATTTAGGGGGGAAATTGTCATTGTGATACTCAATAGAGCAGTGTTCTTCATAACAACCGACCAAGCCAAAACCTGCAGCTCGTGGTCATTTAAGTATCTCTGTTTGGACGCTGAGCCTTCATAAGGGTTGACTACCTCAGATTGGCTGCACTCACTGTAGAATCCATGTCGATTACAAGAAGGCGATGGTGTCTAGTAAGTGTAGATAGGAAACTTGAACCAGTTTTACTGGATTCCTAGTAAATCAGAAAGTCAGCCATCTGGGTTCTGATCTGCTGTAAAAGACGAAGACTTAAGTGACCTTACTTAACCTGCCCTGTGCCCCATCCTTGAGGAGTACTTTCTGTGGTAGGCTGTGGCTGCGTTAGGCTTCTGGAATATGCGGCTCTCCAAAGGACTGATGTGTTCAGATCATCTGCGTAGGGCTGTGATTTACACTTTAAACCACAAACGTATTCTGAAGTATCCACAAATTCAGCCATGCTTGAGTCCACCAAGGAGGGAATGGGATGGGGTAATTTTGTTTCTTCTAGTAATCTTTTCATATGCGTAGTGCTTTTTCTATGTTTTACAGATAAGTCCTCTCTCTCTCTTTTTTTTTTTTTTTTTGCTTTGCTTTGACTTGGAATATGCTTTTTGACAGAGCATACTGTTTGGTTGGTTGTTGTTTTTGAGTGCTGTCAAGTCGTAGATGACTCATAATGACCCTATGAATGGAAGTCCTCGACATTTGTGTGACTTTCATCCTTTCTCCAAGTTCACAGGGTTTCCAGAGGCAAGCTATTATGGAAGTGGATGCCACTCCTGCTTCCAAGCTTGTTTTAATCGGGGAGCTCCACCAAACACTGTCCACCATGGGTAACCATTAACACATTTGACACATCAGTGTCACAGTGTTAGCTTCACAGCAACCACAAGTTACCTCTGTACAGCAAGCGG